AGTAAAGAACTTCCCCTGATATCCAACCTAAATCTTCCCTCCTTCAACTTGAAATATTTTTAAGGGGAATTTTCAAGAGGTTTTGAATATGTGGTGGAGAATGACAGGAACTGGCAGATATAATGTAAAGATCTTTTTCCTATTTTTCTATCTCAAAATCAAATAGTCACATCTCTAGCAATGGTTAGCATGTATGTGGTGATGTATGTCCTTTTATGTCCTTCTCAGTCTCTGCGGTCTTCCCAAAACAAAAGTGGAGAAAGTCTCATGGTAGATATGGTATATAGGTGTGGTAGAGATTGACATATAAAAAGCACTGATTGACTTATCCAGGGTCACACAACCGGTCAGTGACAGGGCTGGAATCTGAACCAGCTCCCTGAAAACTTTAGGCACGTCTAACTATACCATCATGCAAGCTTTGTTGAGAAGTATGATAGGAAAAACTCCTTCAGTGACCAGCTGACCAGCCCATGATGCAGAAGGAACGTGCAGAGTTCCATCTTCAGAAGCCAGTGTGGGTGTCTGGCTCTTTCAAGACTTAAATTTCGTTTGCAGTATGTTCGTGTGCTGGCTTTTAACAGATGTCTGTGACTTTTGAGGCTCATACATCTGTTTCACCAGATTGCACTGCATGGTCAGGAATTATCATAGCCACTCTCCGATATGAAAAACCTCGCTGCCAGAAGATAGAGGGCTTCTTATTTTCTGTGAAGCAGCACTGCCATTTTTCTGCATAGATCTTTCTGAAGGGCGAGAGCAGTATTCAGCAGTGTACTCTGTTCAGTGACCCATTAGCCTAGTAAGTATCTTTAAGAAAATATCCCTTACAGGAGTTCTTTAATGGAATGAGAGAGCTGAAATAGAGAACTGTGTTTCCTTCCATTTGATAAAATACAGGATGAATACCAAATCAGGACTAATTCTGCTAAATGACTAAGGAACCAACTGTGTGACTACAATGGTATGAGGGCTACATAACTACTGGTAACTACCATTACTACTGATAATGCAGCAGGTATTATTTTCTGCCACTGCCTAATTGCTTTAGAGGAACTTATTAAAACTGGAAGCACTGTTGTGTCAGGAGCTATTCACATGGAGTATCTGGAGAGCCATCAAGATGATCCTGCTGTGGGCTACGATATGTATGAGTAAAAGCAAAGAGTGGTTTTGTGAGGAAGCTGTCATTTTGAAAACTCAGTTGGCAAGGGACGGTCTGCACATTGTTCTGTGTCTTAATGAGACATTAGCAACAGAAACGATGGCAGATTCTCATCAGATATTTCAAAACTCACTGCAAGAATCGCACTTTGTAAAGTGCAACAAATATCTTTTGTTCCTTGATCCTTTGCAAGCGTGACCTACAGCTCCTTAACTAACATCTCCCCAAACTTATCTGTCATATTGCTCACCAGCCCCTTGTAATCACAGCTCAAGATACGTGAATTAGTTTAATGAAAATAACCCCCCATTCTCTGTCTCAGAGAATGCCCAATTCTCATTATTACTAATGGCTGTTACACACACGTGCTGACAGTAACCTCACAGGTTTTATGGCCTAGTGATTTACCAATTATGCAGGCTGGTGTTAGTTTTATGGCGTGGATATTTCACATGATAAACACACAGGCTTGCATCTGGACAAAACGCAGTGGATTAAATAAAAGAAAACTTTCTCCTTGCCCAGCAGAACACTGAAAATTTGCGTAACTGGAGCAGATTTTAAGAAGGGGAAACTATCTTTCACCAAATGCTCCTTATTTGAGACTGCTCTGAAAGGAAACCAGCTCCATTCTCAGCTTGTGTGGTGCCGATTAACCAACATGTGAGGTGGAAGCAAGAAGTGTTGTGAGTACTCTCTTCTTAGGGAGTCAGAAAACTGCATTAGGAAGTTCTCTCGTGACCTCTCTCATCACCAGGCAGATGTTCTTGCAGTACTCCTTACTGCAGCTTACTAGCAACTGCAGACCTTACTGTAAATTGGGTAATAAACCAAATTACTTCAAGTCCAGGTGTGTGGGAATCAGTAGTGGGGATTTTGAGATATTTTTGAATAATTTGCTCAGTGCTCTCAGTTGTATCTTTGAACTCATCTCTGTCTCCAGCTACTAACAAGTAATGGAACCCTTTGCTAGTTTGTGACCCTGTTAGCTCAAATCTCATAAAGAGCTAAGAAGGTGATACTGCTTTCCTTTCAGTAAGTGCTATTGGACTGAGTGCTGCTGAGGTTCCTGTTGGAAAACAGTCTGAGAGAACCACTTATTGTGGTTCCTATCTGTAGCTATTCAGTGGTTCCTGAAAATGATGTGTTCAGCCTACAGCAGGTGTTTTATCCCTCTGATGGTATGGCAGCACCTCATCAGACAGGAGAACATGGGAACGTTGTGTTGAAGTAAGCTTCACAGACAAAACAAAAGAAGTTGTGGAAATCTCCACACCACATTTCTTGCTCTTGCTCATGTTTTTTTTAGTAGAGAGGAGGAACTCTGACCATATAAATGTTCCCATATGAGAATCTGTGTTGCGAAGTTATGGCCTAAAAATATTGTACATCAAAACATAGCTGACTGCATAACTCCTGCAGAATGGAGGAACTCAATGAAGAACTGCAGCTCATGTTACTTTTCAGGTCTGTTTTACTTTCATAAGGTTTTTTTTTGGTTTTTTTTTCTTTCTATTTTTTTTAAAGCAGGAAATTGCATAGTATAATTAGAAGTTCATTTGCATTCATATTACAAGCTGTGAGCAAGTACGTTCTTTTATATTTAAAAAATATTGTTAGCAAGTGTGACTTGCATCCACAAATTTCCAACGTGAGAATGGAGTTTATGCTTACTGCAAGTCCCTTCTCGTGTTCGCCAACAGCCAGCACCCTTCCTGTTAAAAGCAGGACATCAGGGAGGTCAGCAGCGTGAAAAATGCAACTTCATTTTACAGTGCAACAGGCAAGGATGGAGAGCAGCTCAATGATTGTTTCCCCAGCACAAAATATGCCTTTTGAGAATTGAAGTTCACAAACATTTTGTCTGACTTAATGCTTACAGACAAGCATGGCCGAATGTCATCCAGAGGAAGCTGTTATTTCCTAATGGAAAAGTGTCTTCTGTTTGTTGACTTTTTTCTTCAGCCTCTTGTCTCTTTGAGATGACACTCAATTCAGTGGAAAACATTGCTGCAGTCATTTTACTACAGGGACTTAGATTATTTAAACCCACATTAGAATAAGTGGGTTCCATTGATAAGCTTGCCTTTCATTTCTTTAATGAATGGAATTGAAGAAAACAGTTCTATAGAAGAAGTCTTGACTCCACTACATGCTTCTGTAAATGTGGTATGACTTCTGAAATGCTTTTTGTTTTTTTTTTTTACATTGTAAAGGTTGTTAGATGACTATCTGTTACGCTTAAGGCCTAATGCGTTAAGGAAGGAATAATTGAGGAAAATAAACGGGAGTGCTCTCAGATCTGCGTGTGTTGAGCCTCATGGATGGGCATTCAGCCCTGCTAAGCAGTTCACCATGTCAGTGCAGACCTCTCACCTGCCAGCTGGAGCGACGACAGCCTGTAAGCATCTTTCTGCCTGGTGAGCATCGTGCTGATCACTGGCTGATCATAGAATGGCTCAGGTTGGAAAGGACCCCAAAGGATCACGAAGCTCCAACCCCCCTGCTGCAGGCAGAACCACCAGCCTTCACATTTAATACTAGCCCGGGCTGCCAGGGCTGCATCCAACCTGGCCTTGAACACCTGATGGCCATTTCAAGGAGCAATATTAGTGTACTCTGCACGATGTCTTGCTGGTACCTTCTAATGAGGTTGGAGCCATCTCCTCAACACCCAGGCCCTCAAGGTGAATCGCATCGATCTGGCAGATACAAAAGGCTTTTCTTTCAGCAATTTACCTGAGTTAGCTGGAGTTGAGCTGCTTTTATGCCTCGATTGGAGATAATGCTAGTGAAATAGCAATAACCTCACCAACGTACTTCTCTTCTGTATGTAAATCCTTTCAGGAAGTGCATGACAGCCTCCCTTTTCTATGGTCTCCGTTTGTAAAGAAGCTGTTATCACAGAATAAGTTTAATGGGTCGTGAATTGTGTGTTGAAAGGAGCGTCTCCCTCTGACTTCTGATCTGCCTGCAATAGACCTACTGGCTCGGCAGCAAGTGCGTTAGGCTAAATATGCTTCCTCCATTGACTCTGAAGGTAACAGCCCTAAATGCCTCATTAAATTTTCACGGGTGACTGAGAGAAGCCATGAGAAAAACACCACGCTAGCAACGGGGTGACAGCGGGGTTTTCGGACCCCTCCTCACAGCGAACCCCACGGCCGGGGGCAGCGCGGCCGCAGAGTCCCGAGGGACGGCCGGGTTCCACGCGTGGGCAGGAGCCGCCCCCCGTCCCCAGCCCTGCGAGAGGAGGGGGAGGGGGAGGAGGAGGAGGAGACCGACCCCCGGCAGCAGCCTTCCTCCGCCGCACGCCTTCCTATCCCCTCCCTTTGGCCTCAGCGCCGCGCTGGCGGGGCCGGAGAGGGCAGACGGCGCGGGAAGGCGGCTCTCCCAGCATGGATGAGCCATGTGTATCCTAAGGAATAACAGCAGCTGCTGCGCTCACGATGGGGAGCAGAGGAACGCGCGGAGGAGAGGGCTCGCTGGGGCAGGTGAGGAAGCGGCTCTCAGCACGGATGCCGGGTGGGTCGTCCTCGGGGGCGAGCGCAGCCGGAGGGGCCGTTTCCCTGGCGGGGAAAGGCAGGGGCTCTCCGGTGGAAGTTTTTTTTCGCCACCCGGAGGAGGAAAGGGGCTGAAATCTCTGTAAGTCGCGGCAACTTGAGGGTTTCCCCCGAGTCTCAGAGGGCAGAAGCGGCTGTTTTCAGCTCCCCCAGCCCCGGACGAGCTGACGAGCTGCGCTGCGATGCTGTGCGGGGTTCCCCTCTCCGCTACCATCCCCCGCCGGGCCGGGGCCGCTCCGCGGGTCGTTGCCGCCCCCCAGCTGGGAGCACCGATGTCGCTCCGTTACCGGCTTCGCCCCGGGCAGCGGGCACGGCTCCGCGCCGCGGTGGTCGGGCTGCACCGTCGCTGCTCTCCCCGTGAAGGCGCAGGCGGGGTGGGAGACGCCGCGCTGAGGCGCGGAGGGGAAATGGCGCCGGGAGCTGAGGGGCCGCTGCCCCCCAGACCCTCTCCAGAACCGCCCGATCGGCTCCCGGCAGCGGGGGGGCAGCGGAGCACGAACGGCTTTAACCTGCGAACAGACGGTGCGGGGCTGGGACAGCCGCACGGGGAGCTGAGCGGCCGTTTCTCCTTTGGGTGCTATCCGCGATGGTCTTCTCCATCCTAAATACCGAAGGAATGGCCCAGCATTGCGATGGAGAGCACCCGATAAAGCTTGTTTTCTCCCTCCCCCTCCCCCCCCTTCACTCCGCAGGTGATGGGATGCTTTTAATTCCAGTGCCAACTTCTGTTGTGTTGTGCTGCTCCAAGTGAAGTTAGCGTCTTTCCCCCCAAAGTAGTTGTGTAAGCGGAGTCCTTGGAACTCTTTGCCGTTTGTCTGCGTTCTGAATGCACGTCTGAATCACTTAATCATGTTTATTGTTTTCAACCACTCAAACGGAATAAAAATTACTTATCGTTGATGGAGCTTGTCCCGCAAGCTGTCTCACAGTATGTTTCCGTTGCGAGATGCAGCACTGTGCAAACTATGGACCGTGGTATTGTTTATTGTTCTTCCCTTCTCCACCCCCACCCCCCACAGCGCCGGTATCAATCTGTTCCTCTCCGTTCTACTCAAAAATAATGGGAGTTTTCACCAGTAAGTTCAATATTCTGACTTTTGTCTGAGATTTTTATCTTTTCTATTCGCTCCTCAGCTAATTTTCATCAAGCTGGCATATAAAGCAGTGAAGGCATTAAAGCTAAAGGGCACTTTCCAACTCTTGAAATGGAGCTGTAGGTAGAATTAGTGCTGGTTTCACAGCCATTGTTTTTATTTCCATCCCAACCACACCATTCCCTGCCCTTTTGTCATTCTCACTTTGTTCATTACGCCTTCTAATACACCATTCACTTTGGTTTACAAGTTCAGATTTATGGTTTGTGGGGTTTGATGTAGAAGCTGCTCTTGGGCTGTGCCTCATAGGAGATTTTGCTGCACTTTAACAGTATCTCAGCACAGTGATGGAGGACACCATCATGTTTTCTTGTAGGATTACCTTTGGGACTTCAGAGCCTGCACACATCAGTGGTTTCATCTTAGGAGGATTGAAATTGATTTTTTTTTATTATTATTTTTAGTTCAGCCACTGAAAGACCCCATGTATGTCCTTTGACCCGTGGCCTCACATGATGAAGTGACACCAGCAGTGGAGGATGTTGACTTGTGGTTCGTGCTGTAGGGCTTCCCAAGCAGTGATACCAGCATGAACACACTGTGCTGGTGGCCAGCCTGCCTGATGTGCTGAGAGCAGAGCACCATTGTTTAGTATGCACTGGAAGATCCCTGTATGCATATATTGAAACAATTTTAAGCCATGAACTTCATGATTCCTTATTAATCCTTTTGTAAGGCCCCACCTGAGGTTCTTGCTTCAAGCACAGTGCAGGAAGGTTGTCTTTCCTTCTCATCCTTAGTCCTGACAGGCTTCTTTGCTTTTAAATAATTTGGATTTCCAGTCCTGCAAGATGTTTGTATTGAATTAGGAGCAGCCAAGCTACTTGGTTAAATAGTGGTTTGATGAGAGAACTTCTGTTTTTACAACTGTGTTTACTTTTCAAAGTGATAGCAAATGTAGGAAGGAAGACCAAGATTTTCTAGACTTTATAGTTCAAATAAACTTTCCCAGTCAATATTTAGACAAGGTCTTGATGGTTAAAGTTAACTGTGCAAGTCAATGTTTAGTCAAGGTAATGACTTGGTTTTTACAAACACTACCCAAGCGTTCCTGCAAAATTAATCAGAGTTGCAGGATCACAGTACATTTGATCAGCCAGTTACTTAGGAATAAAAATACATTATGACATGGTCTCAGATGTCCTGTGCTAGCTGATATTTCAACAGTGCTTGCCACCAACCCTTTGTGGCCTCATTCTTACAGCTCTAGTTCTACCTGTATGCATGTATGTCTGCACACAGGACTTGTGGGATAAAATGAGTCCTATGCTACCTTCTTTTTATAGGTAGGGAAATAAGGCAGAGTTATGCTGAGTACCATCTCTTAAAAACAACTGTAAAGCTGTGCAGTACAGCAGCAGCAGCCCTAACACGTGTAGTTCCAAGCAGATGTTTCAGGTGGTTTGCAGGACGAGGTGGGCATTTCTGATAATGAAGTCATTGGATAAAGTCTGAAAACAGTTTTGGTGTCTGGGACAAAAGTGATGTAATTAAATGCTGACTTTGGTATGCAGAGTGCAAGACTGAGGTGTGTTGTGATGTGGGAAAGAGCTGGAGGTCTCTGCTGCGATTCTTCCTTTCTTGAGATTGAGTGAAGATTGTTCTTCTTGCTTTGGTCTCTCCAGCTGACACTAAAACAACACTTCATTTGGACTTCATTTGTTCCAAATTTTTTTTCCTTCTTTCTTTCTTCCTTTTTTTTTTCCTTCTTTTTTTTTTTTAATTAATTGAACCACTTGCAAATGCATTCCATGCAATTACATGGGTATTAGAGTAGATATTCATTAGGATTTTACTAATCTAAACCTCAAGTGCTGTTCTGCAAATTTGCCAGCTTTTGTAAGGGTGTGCTTGACTTCACCAGCAGCAGTGTTTTATTATGAGTATTTTGATACAGTAGAATGAAAAGCATATATTCTAAATCAAGTAATTAATCAGATTTAAATATTTTCATTTGCATGCTTTGACTTGATACATAGAGAAAATGCAACCCTGTACTTTGCACGTAACAGTAGGTTTTGCCCCAGTCTAGCCACAGAGGAATTATATTTCATGGCCCTGATTTAGGATTTAATCCACAAGTCAATCTTCTGTTTCTGTTTAAAAGCAGCAAAATTGTTCCAACGTAGGAAAAGTGAGTAAACCCATTAGTGTGAGCCAGACAAAAGCAGGGGATTTGCCTTCTGAAGAATGGAAGAAGAGAGAGACTTGTTGGCTTTTGTTTTCATGTGACTTCTGGAGGTGTTGGGATGAAGCTGGTGCTCAGGATGACCAGCTGTGTGCCTGTGCAGGCGTGGGAGCTGTAGGCATCATATCCCCAGCTGTGGGGATCTGGTTATCAAGTCCTTTAGACTCAGCTGAATGCTCTCACTATATCTATCTGCAGCAGGACTGCTGAAGGGCTGTGTGTTGTGTCTTGCTCTTAGTCATAGAACGACATAGAATTAGAATCATAGAATGGCCTGGGCTGAAAAGGACCACAATGATCATCTAATTTCAACTCTCCTGCTATGTGCAGGGTCGCCAACCAGCAGACCAGGCTGCTCAGAGCCACATCCAGCCTGGCCTTGAATGC